CCCCCCCCCCCGCTCCTCCTCCAGGTCCAGCTCCTCCTCGAACTCCTCCTCCTCCTCCTCCTCCGTCAGGGCCTCCTCCTCCTCCTCCCGCTGGACCCGCCCCTCCTCCTGCTCCTCACAGTCGTGCCGCTCCTTCTCCTGCACCTCCAGGTTCTCCTCCTTTGTCATGATGAGGATTCTGGGCCTAAAGGAGGAGAAAATTTGACCAGTTTGTGTTAGCCTAAACCTTCTCCATCCCTCTGCCCCTTCATTCTGTGGGTCTTAAGGTTAAATCAACCAAAAAACAGTCAAATTTTAGCTAACATGTTTAGCTAACCGTCCTTATTACCTAGAATGCAAATACAAATGCTCCTTTTTACATCTTGAAAGAAAATTTATTAATTTAACCATTCTGTGTTAGCCTAAACCTTTTCCATTCCTCTGTCCCTTCATTCTGTGGGTGTTAAGTTCAAATCACCCAAAAAACTGTCAAATTTTAGCTAACATGTTTAGCTAACCGTCCTTGTTACCTAGAATGCAAATACAAATGCTCATTTTTACATCTTGAAAGGAAATTTATTCATTTAACCAGTCTGTGTTAGCCTAAACCTTTTCCATTCCTCTGTCCCTTCATTCTGTGGGTGTTAAGTTCAAATCACCCAAAAAACTGTCAAATTTTAGCTAACATGTTTAGCTAACCGTCCTTATTACCTAGAATGCTAATACAAATGCTCATTTTTACATCTTGAAAGGAAATTTATTCATTTAACCAGTCTGTGTTAGCCTAAACCTTTTCCATCCCTCTGCCCCTTCATTCTGTGGGTCTTAAGGTCAAATCACCCAAAAAACAGTCAAATTTTAGCTAACATGTTTAGCTAACCGTCCTTATTACCTACAATGCAAATACAAATTAGCACCAAAATATAAAACAAACAAAACATCTGTAAACGATTATTTTACGGTAAAAAAGTTGCAATGATCCCAACCTGGTATTTACAAACAATCAGGACAGATCAGAACAGGCTAAAACATGCTAACACCATGCTAACCACATGCTAACCACATGGAGGTCAAATGAAACGAAAATTTCATTTTTTATTATTACTCACAAACATGTTTAGCTAACTGTTCTTATACCTAGAATGCAAATACAAATGCTCGTTTTTAAATCTTAATAGGGAATTAGCACAAAAAAATAAAACAAAACAACTGTATTATTTTACAGTTAAAAAGCAACAATGATCCTAACCTGGTATTTACAAGGTAAATACATTGAGCCAGTTTGTGTTAGC